AAAAAAAAAAACCCCCCCCAAAGGAAAAAGCTTAAAGGATGGCTTTATTTCCCCCCCGTTTTTTTTTTTGGGGGGGGGGGGGTGGAGGCAGCTGGCTGGTAAGGGGATCTGAACCCTTGACCTTGGTGTTGTCAGCACCATGCTCTACCGAGTGATATAACCGGTCAGCCCTTCTTTGCTGACTTTAATTGCTATCCTTTCATTGTAATAAATGGTTAATCTGAGTGTAACAGCTTTTCTGAGCTCTGTGAGTCCCTCTAGAGAATCACTGAACCTGAAGGTGGTCTTGGGGACCCCCAACATAGGCAAGATCCTAAGAGAAGCAGGGGGAAACTGAGAATTTGCCTCTCAGACACCACTTTTTCCTGGATTTTGGCCTCCCTCTCTGGCTGCATCTTTTCCATCTGGTTCCAGTTCCTCTTCCTAATCTCTCAAGGCCGTCACCCTCACAGGACCCCATGTTAGGCCTCTTCTCTTCTCTGTCTGTACTTGCAATGGACTGAATATTTGTGGCTCCCTCAAAATTCATATGTTGAAATCCTAATTCCCAAGGTGATGGTATTAGAAGGTGGGGCCTTTGGGAGCTAATTAAGTCACGAGGGTAGAACCCTCATGAATGACATCACCAGACACCAAATCTGCTGGCACCTTGATCTTGGACTTCCCAGCCTCCAAAATCATGAGAAATAAATATTTGTTGTTTAAACCATCCAGTCTATGGTATTTTTGTTACAGCAGCTTGAATGATCTAATACAACACTAATTCCCCTGGTAGTCTCATTTAATATCACCTAATTGCTCCCAGAGCTGTTTCTCAGCCTAGAACTCTCTACTCATCCCCAGACCCACATATTCAAATCCATCTTTCCTTTTTTTTTTTTTAAAGATCACGAGTAAGGGGATCTTAACCCTTGACTTGGTGTTGTCAGCACCACGCTCACCCAGTGAGCTAACCGGCCATCCCTATATGGGATCCGAACCCGTGGCCTTGGTGTTATCAGCACCACACTCTCCTGAGTGAGCCACGGGATGGCCCTCAAATCCATCTTTCTACCTAGCTGCCTAACAGGCAGCTCAAATTCCTAAGTATAATACTGAGCTCTCAATCCTCCCCACAGATTGGTCTCTCCACCCCCACCATGGTCTTCTACACATCAATACAGAGCAGCTTCTTCCTTCAGCAGGCTCAGGTTCAAACCACTGGAGGTACCCCCTGACTCCTCCCCTTCTTTCACCACCCCACCCCCACAGCCAGTACATCAGCAAATGCTTATGTCTTCCAAACATAACCAGCCCCTGACCACTTTTCACCACTTCCACTGCTATTACTGTTGTCGGAGCTGCCATTATCTCTCACCTAGACAAATACAATAAACTCTTTAATATGTGTCCTTTCTGACAGTCTGTTCCCTACATGGCAGCCAAAGGGATCCTGTTAACATCGAAATCAGCTCATTTCCCTCCTCTGCTCAGAACCCTCCTGTGGCTCCTGCCTCACTCAGAGTCAAAGCAACTCTGGCCAGCCTGTGGCTCACTTGGGAGAGTGTGGTGCTGATAACACCAAGGCCACGAGTTCAGATCCCTATATAGGGATGGCTGGTTAGCTCACTTGGGAGAGCGTGGTGCTGACAACACCAAGTCAAGGGTTAAGATCCCCTTACCAGACATCTTTTAAAAAAAAAAAAATGACAAAGCAACACCCTCACCATGGCCCACAAGGCCCAGCATCATCTGCCCCCATTCCCTATCTGTCCTCATGTCCCATCATCTCTCCCTTACACATTCTCTCCAGCTAGACTGGCCCCTCTTTGTTCCTCCAACACTCCAGGCCCACTCTCACCTCATGGCCTGTGCACTTGCTCTTCCCTCTGCCTGGAACATCCTCCCCCAGACATCCATCAGGATTGTTCCTCTCTTCACTCAGGTCTTAGCTCAACTGTCACCTCTTCAGGGAGGTCTTCCCTGACCACCCTGTCTAAAACAGGCCCCCATCCTGTCCTCTTTGCTTCATTGTTCTTCATAGCACTTACCACTACTGGGCATTACATTTTATATTTATTTTATTTCTTGTCTCCCCAACTGTAATGTCAGCTCCACAGGGCATGGCTTCATCTGTCCCATTCATTGCTGAATCCCCAGGGCTTAGAAGAGGGCCAGGCTCCAAGTAGATGTCAGTGAATATTTGCTGAATGAACAGATAAGCAAACAAGTACAATAGGGCTGGAGGGGTCCCATCCTCACCTGCAGCTGGGCCAGGACATGGTGGTAGTGGAACAGGGTGCAGAAGTCCACATGAGCTGAAAACTCCTCCAAAGCCACCTTCTCCACTGGACTGGAGTGAAATTCCTGTTACCTCAGGAAGCAAAACTTCTCTTCAGTGCTCCTCCCCCTTCCCCATGGGAGGAATTCTTTTCCTGGTAGCCCATACACACAATCAGAGATCTGATTTTTTTTTTTTCTTTTGTGGCTGGTTGGTACAGGGATCTGAACTCTTGACCTGATGTTATCAATACTGCGTTCTAACCAACTGAGCTAACTGGCCAGCCCAAGAGGTCAGTTTTTTGTTTTGTTTAGTTTAGTTTTTCTCCTTTTTTTGCTTTTTTAAACTTTTGTTTGGGGCCGGCCTGTGGCTCACTCGGGAGAGTGTGGTGCTGATAACACCAAGGCCACGGGTTTGGATCCCATATAGGGATGGCCGGTTTGCTCACTGGGTGAGCGTGGTGCTGACAACACCAAGTCAAGGGTTAAGATCCCCTTACCGGTCATCTTTTTAAAAATAAATAAATAAATAAATAAACTTTTGTTTTGTTTGGGGTGGGGGTGGGTATGACTAATTTTATCAACCAAGAAATTGAGACTGCCTGCTGATAACACCAAGGCCACGGGTTTGGATCCCATATAGGGATGGCCGGTTTGCTCACTGGGTGAGCGTGGTGCTGACAACACCAAGTCAAGGGTTAAGATCCCCTTACCGGTCATCTTTTTAAAAATAAATAAATAAATAAATAAACTTTTGTTTTGTTTGGGGTGGGGGTGGGTATGACTAATTTTATCAACCAAGAAATTGAGACTGCCCAATATAATAAAAAACAGATGGCTTAAAGAGCTAGAGGTTCCAGTTCCTGCTTTGACATTTACTCGCCAACATTCACACTATGCTTATTGTGTGCCAGGCACTGTTTGTCAGCATGACAACATCTTCCAGAGTTGCAAGGAGGTTGATGGAGTTATAACTCCCATTTTTTAGAGGGGGAAACTGAGGCTTGGCAAAGTCACTTGCTGAGAGCCACAATGTCTGTGTGAGGTGACTGCAATCTAAGTCTGTCTAAATCCAAAGCACACATACTGAACCATTTCTTTATGTTTCCTATCTCGGTGCCCTGGGTGAATGTCTTCACCTCTCTGAGCCTCGGTTTCCTCACTGGCAACAGAGGATCACACCCTCTTTCTTAGAGAGCTATGGTGAGAATTTGATGAGATTAATGGTGCCCATATGCACACGTGTTTATGCATGTGTGTGTATATTTGTGGGTTTGTGTGCACATCAAGTCTAGAACAGGATTTAGTACATATAGTAAGTTTTCAATATATAAATTTTTTTGGCAGCTGGCCAGTACAGGGACCTGAACACTTGAACTTGCTGTTACCAACACTGCGCTCTAACCAACTGAACTAACCAGCCAGCCCCAATTTATAATTATTAAATGGATAAATGACAATTCTCAATAATGATAGGTATGATGATGGTGGTGGGATAAGAGCTTAAGCTCTGAAGTGGGACCTGGACTAGGGTGAGGAGAATAAGGCATCCAAGGGTGCAACGTTTTAGACCACTATGATTCAAATCTGGGCCGCTGTGTTGTAGCCTTGTGTAAGTCACTTTCTTTCTGCATGCTGAAGTTACCTTATCTTTAAAATGGACATGACAGTGGTATCTCTCTTACTGGGTTGTTCTGATGATTGAATAATACATTATAAATGCTTGGCACAGTGCCATAGAGCAAGAACGGAAATAATGTGATAATAATTATGATTACAGCTTTTTGACTTTATAGGTACAATAATTATTATTAGGTATTAGTAATAATAATGAGGATGATTTTTATACCCATTTTACAGAGGGAAAAGCCATGCCCCAGAAGGTATTTGCACAAGACCCCAGAACAAGCCAGAGTCAGGGATCGGTGCTGCATCTGCATTTCAGATGTCTTGCCCCTGCATTCCAACTCACGTCGAGCCTGCCTGGGACTAGAAGGGGACCTCAAACTACAACTCCCAGAAGGCGTAAGGGCAGCCCTCCATACCAGGTAGGGCTCTGCCGCCGAGAAGCCTACCGGGAGTCGTAGTACCCAGGCTCTTAAACCCGCGTGGGGCGGTACCTGTATCAGGAGGCGGAGCAGCTGCTCTTTGGAGAACGGGATAAAACGCTCGCGGTACTGCTGGGCCCAGTCACGGGGCTCCGTGGGGTTCCACATCTTGCGGTACTCCCCCATCTTGGCCGCCAGCGATGACAGGGCCCGGGGGGACCCGAGGAGCGCGGGCAACAGGGGCCGTACTCGGACCCTGGACCCCCAGACCCCCCGGGTCACGTGCAGCATGGCCAGACCCTTTGCCCGGAGCCTAAACAGAGGGAAATGGGCAGGGATTAAAGGTTATCTGGAGGAAAAGCGCCCTCTCCACCTCCATGTCCTATCCTCCAGAGGGCGTCCCTACCTCAGGCAAGACGCATAATTCATTCGCCCAGCTTGCAGCCCCTCTTGCCCGCTCAGTTGGCCTGGATCCCTAGACAGGGGTCGGGGCTGGTAGGTGTAGGGCTTTTTGCAGGCCCAGAGACCCTGTAGTGGCACAACTGATTTCTTCAGGGTCTAGATGGAGAGGTGGATCTTAGGAGCATAGAACATGCTCGGAAGATCTACATTGGGGCTGCAGGGCCGCCCTCCCCGGCCATGCAATCCTCCGTCCTCTCCCTCACCTTAGCCAACGCTCGACTGTCATTGAGCCTCCTGCGCATGTGCAGGAGGGCGTCCGTGCCCCCGAGGTTCGGCTTCAGTCCGCATGCGCAAAGCTTGAGTCATTGAGGGCTGTCCAGTTTTCTCCCCTGACACGCTATCTCAACTACACATGCGTTATCTGCCTGTCCTTCTCCACCACGGGCTCGTTTGGGCAAGGCGCATGCGCTGCCGAAGTGTCTCCTTGTCCGCTTGTTTCAAAGGGAAGGGGAGGGGCGGGCGCGAGACTCCCGGGAAGGGTGGGGCGGGGCAGGGATCCCGCGGGCAGCCTGCCAACTGTAAGCCCCCAACGTCCGCCGAGGCCACGCCCCTGCTCGTGAGTAGCTCCTGAGTAGGCGGGGAAAGAGGAGGGACGGGACTTGGGTACAGCCAATCAGCTGTGGGGATGCGAAAAGGCGGGAAAAAGAGGAACCAAAAGAAGGTTGAGGTGGCTCCAGTGACCGGGAAAGGAGGGCGGGCGGAAGGAAGAGCGGGCCTCCAGGTGACGCAGAGCGGTCCTCCACAATAGGGGTAGCCCTTTCTCAGGCGGCATCACCCCCAAGCCCCAGCACTCCCATTCCACGTCCTTAAAGACGAGATCCCAATTCTAAGAAGATAGCCTAGTGTCGGGGGCATAGCCTCCTCATCCTGAACGGACGGCTCAGTTCTGAGGTTCTCCACAAACTGAGGTCCAGAGTCTCAGCTGGAGGAAATGCACTTTTATGAAGATGGAGCAGAATTCTAAGGGGAGGCCCTCTACCTTATTCTGGGAAATAGCTCCAAATCACTGGGGCAACCTAAAATATACCCTGAGATGCCTGGGTTCTCCATTATGGGTGCTGTCACCCCAAAACCTGAAAGGGATTCCTCTGGCTCAGACCTCCCAGGGGTTCTGACCTCCACTGTGGCACTCCTTACTAACTGGGCTCTCCCACTCCTGTGTTAAGGGAATGGCCCCAAAACGTCCCAGCCCTCTTCCCAGCCCTCCTCCCTGGCCTGGGATCTCTTCACCCTGCACCCCACCTCTGGGACCCTTCACCCCCTCACTCCACATTCCTGACTTCTGGAACCTGAAGCAGCCTCTTCATTGTGTCCCCCACTCCTGGAACTCCCAGAAACCTCCTCACCCTTTATCACCAGCTCTTCCCTCACCTTGTACCCCCCATTTCAAGGACCCCCAGCAACTCCTTCACCCCACTTCCTGTGACCTCACCTGTGGAATCCTCAGTAGCCCCCTTACCCCGCAACCCAACCCAGAGGCCCCCCAGCAACTCCCTCACCCTGCACCACACTTCTGGGACTACCAACAGCCTTTATGCCCTACTCCCTGACTCTTAGGAGCCCCGGCAGCCCCCTCACCCCATCCCTGGGGACCCCCCGCACCATTCACTCCATGCCCCCCACTCCTGAGACCCGTGAGAGCCCCTGACTGTCACATCTCCCCCATGTTGTCTTGCAGCAGCTGAGCCCCAGGGTGGGCCTGGGGCCCCTGACAGTAGTGCCCAGCAGCCAGCAGCCCAGCTCCCACCTGCCCCAGCCCTGGGAAGAACGCAGCCACCATGCGCATCCCTGAAAGCCTCCAGGACCTGGCCAACAGTGAAGCCGTGCAGTTTCTGAAGAGGCCCAAGACCATAGCCCGGATCTTCGCAGGGGTGAGGCCCTCCCGTGGCCTGCCTGTGCCCTGGAGTGACAGGCGCCAGGAGTCTCAACTCTCAGATGGACACAGTGCAGGCAGGAGTTGGGGCAGGAAGGGCAGATGGGGAAAAGGAAGCAAAAGGGAGCTAATAACTGAAGGCACCTTTTACTGTGCACCCAGCCATGTACCCTGCACTATTCTGAGCACTTACTGACTCCCATAGTAAGGAAAAACCCTTCCAAGTCAGTGCTATGAGCCTCATTTTTGAGATAAGAAAACTGAGGATCAGAGAAGTTAAATAATTTAATGCTGTGCCGTCCAATAGGGTAGCCACAAGCCACATGTGGCTACTTCAATCCGAAGTAATTAAAAAAAAATCTCTTCTTCAGTCCCAGTGGCCACATTTCAGATGCTCAACAGCTACATGTGGCTGGTGGCTCTCAAAATGGACAGTGCAGATATAGAACATTTTCATTATGCCAGAAAGTTCTATCAGACAGTGTTGACTAAGGCCACACAGTAAGAGGCAGTGCCAGGATTCAAGCTCAGTTCTGAGAGATGCCAGAGACCATTCATTTTCTACCTCTCAGGTGAGGGAGTAGGAGGAGAGGAGCAGGGGCTGGGGCCTCCAGGAAGAAAAAGGTGCACACAGGTGGGAAGAGAATATGTAATGTATACATAAGGTATTAGGTGTTGGGTGGTCATAGTGCACCAGGCACTCTGCCAAGGGCTTTATATGTGTTTCTTTTTTTTAAAAAAGATGACCGGTAAGGGGATCTTAACCCTTGACTTGGTGTTGTCAGCACCACGCTCACCCAGTGAGCGAACCGGCCATCCCTATATGGGATCCGAACCTGGGGCCTTGGTGTTATCAGCACCACACTCTACCGAGTGAGCCACGGGCCGGCCCCTGTATGTGTTTCTTTAATCATTACCACATTCCCAAAGAGTCTGGACACCTGGAGTGAAATCCTCATTCAGCCCAGACTTTGCTGTGTGACCTTGAACCAATCAATGTTCCTCTCAACCTCAGTCCATGAGGGGTTAAAGCTGTGCTATGGGCTTTAAATTGTGCTGCTTCCAGGGCTCTTCTTTGATAGATTTGGAAACTGAGGTCCAGGGAGATGAGGAGATTTGATCAGGGTCATGGGAGTAGGTAGAGTGCCCTGGATCAAACCCAGGGTCTCCCCCTAGATTCCTAATCCTGAGTGTCTCCACCCTCCCCCTTCTGGAACCTGTAGTTGGAGAAGGAACAAACAGGCCTGACTTAGAATCCTGGCTCAGCCACATGCTGTCCATGAAGGGTGACGTACTCCCTGGTTTGCCCGGGCCAGCCCTTAAATAATTATCAGCAGCACCACTTTTCATTCTCAGAAGTGCCCCACTTTGTTCAATAGCTTACATGGTCACCCTATATCTGTGTGACCTTGAGCAAGATAGTTGAATTCTCAGAACTTCTATAACCTCATCTGTGAAAAGAGGATCTTAATGCCCAGCTCATATGAAGAACTCCTGTGAAAATGAAACAAGTTAATGCCTGTGAACTGATTAGCATGGGTCTGGCAAGTAGGAATCTTTCCTCAAATAACGATTATTATTGGAACACATCACTGCTTGTGAGTGAGGAGAGAGATGGGTTTCGGAGGCCTAGGGACTTGTGTCCATTGTCCTTCTCCCTCAGGGAAAGGGGAATTGCAAATGCCGTGTCCCAGCACCAGGTTGCTTGCTGTTAGCTCAGCACTCCATACCATGACCCTATGATATGGGCATTATTAGCCCTGTTTAACCCAAGGGGAAACCGAGGCTCACAGAGGTTAAGTGACCTGCCCAACGACTATCACCCAGCTGGTGAGCAAGTCAATCTTGGATCCACCTGTCCATCTCCAAAGCCTCAGAAGGAAAGATGGTTGGCGAGGGAGAAGGAGGCCCAGCTGGTGTGGACTGGTGCAGGGATGGGGGGGAAGGGCCTCCCAATTGTGCCAGAAGTTCCGGTCACGGACTTTGCCTTCATCCTCCTCTGTCATCTCTCCGCCTGTCCTCTCCTCCTTTCCCCCTGGCCTGGCTCCTCAGTAGGGAGTCTCTGGGCAGCTGGTGCTCTTGTCCTTCTCACTGCCGCCTGCCAGCTGGTGCCTTAACTGATGAATCTTTGCTCTTTCCCTGGGGACAGGCCAGGAGGGCATGGAAGGCAGATGGACTCAGGCTTCAGAGGGATAGCATCCTCCAACCCAGCTGAGCCCCCTCCCCACATTTCTAGTGTCCCAGGATCATGCCACAGCCCAAGGATTTCAGAGTCAGTGGCCCGTTCCACTGCTGACTGACCCTGAGAGGACACTTCCCCTCTCTGGGTGAATAATGGGAACTACCGGTTTCCTGAGCACCTACTAGAGGCGAGCCCCCACCCCCACAATCCCCTTTTTCGTAGCATAGAGACAGACTAGGAAACTGAGGCTCCAAGAGGCAAGTGATTTACCCAAGGCCACACAGTTTGGAGAAGTCAGATGCATCTGGCTCTTTCCAGTCCACCATAACGGCTTCGATTTATCCCCTCTGAAACAGAAATGAATTAATAACATCTACCACATGGGACTGGTGTGAGATTCCAGGGAACTAGTGCAGGTAAAATGAATATGGGCACAAAAATGACCGATGTGCTTTCCCGTCCTTGACCTGGATCTGCCTCAGACCAGCAGGACCAGGCACTCCCCATTCTATAGACTCGGTTCTTCAGCTTCAAAATGGGGAGAATCATCCTACAGATGCCATCTAAGGGCTGCTAGGCAAAAAGGGACGTTGTTGTTTTTCAGAGAAGGCAGTTAAGGCAAAGGAGACAGGAATATGGACAGAAGCTGAGGAGTTTAAGGGTCAATCCTTTGCCTCCTCCATTCCCATTCTGAATGGGAAATGCAAAGAAGCCAAAATCATTCACTCTTTCAGCACACATTTGCTGAGGTCCATTCTGGTGCTGGGTGCTGAGGATAGAGAGAAGGGTCCCATGTGGAGCCTGTCAAGGAGTTCAAATTTTAATGAAGGGAGAGTTTTCAACATTCCCTTTCCCTCAGCCTACCTCTCACCCCCCAAAAACTGCAACCACCAACACTGCCACATCTAATTAATCACCAAATCCAATTTTACGTCCTAAATATTACTGGATTCCCCAGGGCTCTATCCTCAGCATTCCTTGCCTGGGTCTTTCCACCAACCTCCTCTCAGGTCTGTTGGCCTCTTGTCTTGCCCCCTCCAGTCCATCACCCACATGACCCCAGAGGACTTCTCTAACCACCAGGTCTGACTGTGGCCATCCTCTGCTCAGAATTGTCCCATGCATAAAATTAAATTCAAATAAGTTTAACTTTCCATGGCTCTCCAAGTCCAGGTCCCTGGGCCCTGTGTCCAGGCCTCTTAAGGTCTGGCCCCCGCCCACTTTCCCAGCCTCATCTCACACCAGATCCCTCAAATGAGATTTATCCCTGAAGAAACTCTGCTCTGCAGCATCCAGATTTTGCACATGCTGTTTGTCTTGCCTGGAATGCCCTTCCTCCTGTCTGCCTGAAAAGCTCCTGAATCTTTAAGGGCCAGTTCAGATCTCATCTATTACCTCCTAAATGTAACCCCATCATTTCAGTTCCCACTCAAATGCTTACTCTCTCCCCCCGACCCAAGCCTTCTCCATGGCCTCCTGGCTTCCAGACTCATCCCCTCAGATCCATCTCCACACAGCCAGGAGGGCTCTTTCTACACCCAAAGCTGACCCTGCCTCTCCCCTGCTCAGAGCCCTCCTGTGGCTTCCTCTTGCCCTCCAGACAGCATTCCCATTCCTTACACTTTCTTACCCTTCAACATTCCTTATAAACATTGCTTCCTGGACCAACTACCACCCCCTACCCCATATACACACTGGCTCCTTCTATGTCTGGCATAGACCTTGCTGCACTGCATTTTATGACTGGGGCAAATAATTAGGGCTTCAAATTTTTACTGAAAAGCACTGAAAGGAACCCCTGCCCTCAAGGCATTTGGTCCAGCATGGGTCAGTATAGTGAGGGGTTAGGAGCAGACTCGGGAGCCAGACCGCTTCGGTTCAACCCAGGCTCTGCCACTTACCAGCTGATCAAGTTCGGCCAATTCCTTATTCTCTCTGTGCCTCGATTTCATTATCTACAAAATGGGACTGTTAATAATGCCCACATCTTAGGGTGGTTGTAAGGATGATCTGGGCTAGTGTTTGTAGAGTATTTCAGTGGTGTTTGATAAATATCATAGAAGACAAGCATAGACACACACTATGCACCATGCACAGATGAGAGTCACGGGGTTACCATATCAGTGTTGTATTTATTTTTTTAAAAAAGTCCTGAAGGAGGGCCGGCCCGTGGCTCACTCGGTAGAGTGTGGTGCTGATAACACCAAGGCCACGGGTTCGGATCCCATATAGGGATGGCCGGTTCGCTCATTGGCTGAGCGTGGTGCTGACAACACCAAGCCAAGGGTTGACATCCCCTTACCGGTCATCTTTAAAAAAAAAAAAAAAAGTCCTGAAGGAAAAAAAAGCAAAATGTTAATATTTGTTAGTTCTGGGTAGTCTGTATGGGGTATTTACTAACTTTCTCTTCATACTTTTCTATATGTTTGGACTTTTGCACAAATTTTAAAAATGAATAGGAATTGGCAGGGCTGGGAGAGAGGAGAAAGAAGTTGCAGGCAGAGAGAAGAGCTGGGAGGCAGAGAGGAGACACTTATTCAGCTCTTCCTGTGTCCAAGTCACTGTGCCAAGTATTTTATATTGGTAACCTGGGTTTGGTGGCAGTTACCATGTCTGGTGACAGAAGGGGAGTGTGGAGCAAGGTAGGGGTGAGTGGGGAGAGATGAAATTAGAAGAGCAAAGAGAGCAGAGACCACCAGGGCCTCAAAGGCCAGGCTGAAGGGTAGAGACTCATTCCTGGGGGTGCTGGGAAGCCCAAAGGGGACTATGAGCAGGGGAGCAACAGGGTGTGGAAAGTCCCCTCTGGGACTACATGAAGGATGGACTGTACTGGAGGTAGGGAGCCTGGGGAGGAAGCTGGGGTGAGAGTCCAGGGGGAGAGAATAAGGCCTGAGCCAGGATGGAGAAGAAGAGAGGAGGGGCAGGAGACTGAGGGCTCTGAGGATGTGACAGGGAGGAAGGGGGAAGCTCAATGACCAGGTGTGCAGTGGACCGTTCACACCAGGAAGGAGTAGTGGCTTCAGGGAGATGCTGAGCTCTGCTCTGGCCCCTGGTAATCCTCAGGTCTTCTCCCTCATCGTCTTCTCCTCCCTGCTGACCGATGGCTACCAGAACAAGATGGAATCTCCACAGCTCCGCTGTGTCCTCAACAGCAACAACGTGGCCTGCCTCTTTGCGGTGGGAGCCGGCTTCCTGGCCTTCCTCAGCTGTCTGGCCTTTCTCGTGCTGGACGCCCAGGAGAGCCGCATCACTGTCACTCGCTTCAAAACGGCCTTCCAGCTCTTAGACTTCAGCCTGGCTGGTGAGCACCTGGGACCTCCCACCCAGAGCTGCCACTCCTCTGTTTTTCCTTTCTTTTTTTTTTTTTTTTTTTTTTTCCCCTCGTCTGGCTCACCCTCCCTGGCTGCATACGGCCTCCCGGACAGACCCTTCTCCACTCAGCTGGCCTCATCCCCCCGACCATCCTCCCAACATGATCCAAAGCTTCTCACTGCCCATCTGCACCTGTTTTTTCCTCTTGAAGAATTATTATTCACCTTTTAGACCCAGTGTAAGGGTCACCTCTTCTGACCCCTAGGCTAAATCTAGAAGCTTCCCTTCTGCCCCACTTTTTCCTTGCATTCACCTCCCTTATCCACCGAACATTTCTTGAAAAGCCACTCAGTGGCAGAAAGTGGGGTTCAGAGCATAGGGACAGAAACACTTGGGTTGGAAATCTCAACCCCGGCACCTCCTCGCTCTGTGGGCTTGCTCTTGTCTCTTCAGGGGCTTCAGTCTCTTCAGGGTCTTCTCTTCTTTGAGTCCTCTTCTCATTTAGTCCTCAGAACCACCCTAGGAAATAAGTCCTGTTCATATTCCCATTTTACAGAGGAGGAAACTGAGACTTGAGGAGGTTATGTATTTGGGCACACAGCTGCTGCATCAAGCACATGAAAGCAAAGTCTTGCCTCCTAACCACTGCAGAACACTGAATAGAGCATGGCACACAGTAAGCACTAAGTAAATGCACATTTTTTCCCCCAGCCCCTGGCCTCCTTCCTCTCCTTCTGGCTGATCTTGACTCTTCCCCCACCACCTCCTCCCCACTGGGCCACTCCCAGCATCTCAGTGCCAAAGTAGTCTTCACAGTTCACTGAGTCCAGTGCTGTCCAAGAGAACTTCTGTGAGGGTGGAAATGTTCTGTACCTGTGCTCTTCAATACAGGAGTCTCCAAGCACATGTGGCTAGTGAGCACTTGAGATGTAGCCAGTGTGACCAGGGAACTGAATTATTTCCTTTTTAATTCTATTTTAATGAATTGAAATTGAAACAGCCACATGTAGCCAGCAGCTTCTGTGTTGGACAATGCAGCTCTCCTCCAGTGGTTCACTCTAGCAAGGGCTCGGAGAAATCAAGAAATAAACCGCAGGAAGTCACACGGGGAGACCCCAGCCCCCTCCTTTCCACCCCTCAGCAGCCCTTTTCGAGCAAGCTTTCCCCTCACCCCTCTTCTCTCCTTGCAATGCCACAGTTCTCTGGGCAGGCATCTGGTTCGTGGGATTCTGCTTCCTTGCCAACCAGTGGCAGCATTCAACACCCAAACAGTTCCTCCTGGGGAGCAGCAGTGCCAAGGCGGCCATCACCTTCAGTTTCTTCTCCATCCTTGTCTGGGTGAGGATGAGCCCCCTACCTGGCCCCACCCCAGTTTGAGCTGAGGGTGGGAGGACTAGAACATTCCTGCTCTCACTCAGCTCCCCTGGGAGTCAGGGTTGGGAGGCTGTCCCAGGGCCTCTGCTGGTCCCTTCCAGGCACCCCTTCCTCTGAGCAGTGGCAGCCCAGCATTAGGGATTGCACCTCGGCCGGGTACCCTTAGTCAGTGAGAAATCAGCACAACCATACCCTTGAGACTCCCTCTCAGGTCAGTCCCCAGCTCCAGCCTCTCTCCTCCCACAACCAGCCCAAGCCAGACTTCAGCCCTTTTCTGCCCCCAGATATTCCAGGCTTACCTGGCATTCCAGGATCTCCGAAATGATACTCCAGTCCCCTACAAGCGCTCTCTTGATGAGGGTGGTGTAGTGCTGACCACCCTCTCCCCACCCTCTGCTGCCAGCCCTGTCAACACTCCCACCACTGACCCCAACAGCCTGAGTTACACCAGCTCTGCCCTCTCCCCCTATCTGACCACTCCGAAGGCTCCCCGGCTTGCTATGATGCCCGACAACTAAACATCCTTATCTACAGCAATAAAGAGATAATCCTCCCTCCAGAAGGTTTCTGAAAACAGCCCTCTGTCCTTTTCATGTCTGTTCCTCTGGTCCTTGAGTGGCAAGGGGTTGGGAGAAACCCCACAAGGCCACCTCAGGGGTCTCTGTGGTGGGTCACATTTTCACACCACCTCCTGGACCCTTCATCCAGGTACCACCTTGACAGCAGCAGATTAGAGGTGGTGACAGAAAGGAAACACTTTTTTTAGGCCTGTTATTCACTAAGTCTTGTCATCACCTCCTTGAGTCCCCACACTCACCATGGGAGGGAGGCAAAGGCAACCCATCATACAGTTGAAGATAAAGTTCAGAGAGAAAATATTTGAGCCCATGCAGAGAGCGCCAAGAAGAATCAGGGCTAACAATGGGACCTAGCCCTGTTGCTAAAGCCAAATCCCAAGCTCTTTCACTTCCCACAGTGACAAAGGACTCGACTCAAAACCTTGCTCTGTGAGGAGTCAGTAAAGAAATGGGGATATAGAGTTCATGAATGAAATTCGGGGTAGACCCATCTTTATTTATTTATTTTTGGCAGCTGGCCTGCTCAAGGATCTGAACCCTTGACCTTGTTGTTATAACACCACGTTCTAACTGTTTTTGTTTTTCTGGGTTTTTTTTCTTTGTGTCTGGATCCTTGTCTTTAAATATTTCAAAAACAGTTTGGGGAAAGAAGAGATTTTTATTCTAAGAAGAACCCCAGTGGTAAGAGGGGACTCCATGTACAGGCCACAAATGCTCCTAAATGTAGGGGCTGGACAGGTAACCCCAGTGGGTGAAGCACCTATTAAGGGAGTGGTGGGGACAGGAGCCATGTCTAAGAAGGGCAGCTTCCACGCAGCACCTACCATTCAGCAGTGAGACCTGGGTTTTCTAGAGCAGTGCTATCTGATGCAAGCCCGGCAGGGAATTTAAAATAGTATAGCAGCCACATCAAGAAAAGTAAAATCAAACATGCAATTAATTTTATATATTTTATTCACCCAATATATCCAAAATATCATTTCAACATGTAATCAATATAAAAATTATTAGTGAGTTATTTTACATTCTTTCATATTAAGTTTTCAAAATCCCTTATGTATTTATTTTACACTGAACAGCACACCTCAGTTCGAACTTGCCACATTTCAAGTGCTCCGTGGTCACATGTAACTAATGGCTGCTCTATTGGACAGTGCAGCTCTAGAACCTTTTGTTTTTTTAAAAACAATTGGACATCCATTTTGTGTTTTGTTTTTTGTTGTTTTGTTTTGTTTTTTAAAAGATGACTGGTAAGGGGATCTTAACCCTTGACTTGGTGTTGTCAGCACCACGCTCAGCCAGTGAGCCAACCGGCCATCCCTGTATAGGGATCCGAACCCGCAGCCTTGGTGCTATCAGCACCACACTCTCCCAAGTGAGCCACAGGCCAGCCCTTTTTTTTTTTTTTTAATGTCAAATTAGTGGGCAACAGATACAAAACAAAGTAAAAGTGTGGGTCAAACAAAACACAAGTACATGGGGCCTGCAGAGCATTAGCCTACAAACTGGACAAAGGGAGTCAAATTGGGTTCCATGGTCCCTTTTACGAGGCTTCCTGTGTGGCAAGCCCTGTGCTCAGTTCTGGAGGTACAGAAATAAATATGACATGGTCCCTTGGGCATCTAGAGAAGAGAGTAGCAGTGTGGTAGGACAGGAAGCATTTTGACATGGAAAATGGGAAGACTGAGCTTTGGTCCTCTATCACTGGCTGGATAACATTGGGCATGTCACTAGTTTCTCTGGGCCTGAGCTGTATTGGTTATAAAACTAAAGAATCTGTAAAACCAGATTTAGATGGATGGTTTTCGGACTGTGTTCAAAGAAATGCCTCAGGGCTAAGCAAGCAGGGATACCACCCCTACCCCACAGTCAACCCAAGCAATCCTGTTCCTGTGTTTTTCATGTCAGGCCTCTGGGCAAAATTCTTTTCAACAGAAGGTCCCTTGGCTTAAAAGAAAGAAACAAACAAAAGGCTGAAAACCACACAATAGTGATTAAACACACAAGAAGTCTGGGTGCAAACCCTACTTTTGCCACTCACCCCTCTGAGCCTGTTTTCTCATCTGTAAAATGTCCCCTCTTTAGGGGTGCTGTAATGGTTAAATGAGCTCATCTATGCAATGCACAGTACCCGGCACAGACTAAGTGCTCAGGAAATGCTAGCTCCCTGCCTCCTGAAGCTTTTAGAGCCATCCCACAGAATTAGAGGCATTTAAGAAAGGTTTTAGAGAATGTCTAGGAAGTTTGACTAAATCAAGCATCAAAAATACAAAGGCCTACAAGAGCAAGGCAGGTAACATAAGTAAGGAAATAGGCCAGGTGCGAAGCCAATCTGGAGAGAGACATGAAAAATATTTCACTTTCGCTTTAACTCCACAAACAAAAAAAATCACACAGTGTCGGCCCTATGGTAAATGACAACAATCCCATAGCCAAGTCCCGGAGACTGTAGTAAAAAGCTCATATCCTATCCATTCAGCTCCAGCCATCTGTTGCCACCCAGAAATGAGGACCTAGTATTGTCAGATTGATGGAATTTTTTTTCAAGAGAAGCCAGAAATCTAGACTTTAATGTGAAAATCTGGTTTTTAAAGGCTGGTGACCCATTCCTTGTTTTGTTTTGTTTTTTTAAGAAAATAAAGAGTGGCTCAACAAAATGTCAAATAAGTGTGAGATGAGGACTGCCCATTTGCAGCCTCTGACATACACGCTCTTGAAGGTCCTCTGCAACCCCAAGGTCTGTAGAACCCTCAGGCAAGTTCTGTGCCTAGGCAGGAAGAATCTTCGAGATTTTCTCCAAAATCACTTCCCCAGTGGAGCTGTGAGGAATCAGGGTGCAGCTGAGAGTCTTGGGAAACCCACTTACTCATCTTCCTGCTCCTCCCAAGCCTCCAGTTGCCTGCGGATGGTTGACAAGGCAAAAGCAGAAGGAGAGAGAGGGACCCCACACACACCAGAGAGCAGGCAAGTAGTAGCAAAAGAGAGGTATCATTTTCCTCTGTTTATTTCAAGAGAACAAAGAACCAACCATTGGTTCTGTACAAAAACATGGTGTTAAAGCCACGGTGACCCTCAGGCCAGCCCGCTTTCTACACTTGAGCCCCAAGCCCCTAGCCCTCCTAATTTGCCAAAAAACAAACACAAGACCAAACCCAAACTCTGTGGAAAAAAATATGAAAAACCAGGGGAGACCTTTCTGGGCCTCCCTTCCTCACTTTTTGGGGGGGCGGGGAGAGGGTGCTGTGTTCATGACCACGGTGGGAGGTAGGACAGGTAGGTGTCAGATTTAGTGTTTGGCAACCAGTGGGGCTGGGGGTGGGATATGAAAGGGAGCCAAGGGGCTTGGAAAAGGGAAAATATCTCCGAACCAGCCCCAGCTCATAGGACACTTGAAAACAGTCTGTAAAAATTGGAGCCAGAGAGTAGAAAAGAAAGGAGTCATCAGAATCAAAAACTAAATAGTGGAAAGATTTTTTTTCTTCTCGATAAGGCAAAAAATTACAAACATCCCAGGTCCTGAGCTCCCCAAGACTTTAGTCCTCCACCGCCCCCCCCGAAACCCAGCAGGAGGAGGAATGGGGAGCAGGGAGTTAGCTCTTAAAAAAGTCACCCCTGGATGGGAAGGCTCTTCGTCTCTTGTTGCCTTCCTCTGCCTCCCGCTGCTGCAGAGAAGAAGGATGGCCAGGACTGGGGCTATGCCGGCAAACTCAACTTCTTCCCCTTTAGGACTGTGAGGAGAAAAGTGAGTGGGTGTTATCACCAGGGCCCCTCCAGAAAGGGGACAGCCTCCCACACCCACAGCAGGGGCCTGCACACTGGGCTAGGTAGACATATGCGGAGAGGTGGCCCCAGGACTCTGGATCATGAAATGGGGGAATCGGCCTGAATCACTAAAGGGGGTAGGGCCAGGGAACCCTGCTCTCGTCCTAGGGGCTGAGCAATGGAGGCCCAGATAAGGCCCCATTTCTTCTAGTGCTGGCTGCTCCTCTTCCACCCTCAAAGACCTCTCTGGCTGGAGGCCTTGGATCTCAGAGGGATGTGGGGCCAGAGGGTCTGGCAGGGCTGGCCAGGTGAAAGCACCCTCGCCCACCTTCCAAGCCTAATCCTGGGGGGCTGGGAACTGCCTCCAAGACTTTCCCTTGATTGTCCCTCTTTCTTCACACAAATGACTCCTGATTTTTCAGGTCTCTGCCTAATCATCACCTCCTCAGAGGCCTCCTCTAACCTCCATGTAAAGTAATCCTCTCACCCTCCACAATTACTCATGAACGCATCCCATCTCCCCCACTAGAATATAAGGGGAGGTGAGTGCCTCATCCATCTTTTCTTCTACTGCTGCATCCCCAGAGCCTAGCACCTGTCCAGGGACACAGAAAGTAATACATTTGTTGAATGAATGAATGAATCTCAGTGGGCCTTCATCCCTGCCCTGCCTGATCTCCGCTTGAAGTGATACTGGGGCCAAGGACAGAAACTCCTTGGTCCTTAGGGAGGCAGGAGCTGAAAAGTCTGAATTCTTAGGAAGGCAGTGGGCCTGAGACTCCAGGGGCTGGAAGGGGAAGCTCTCCTTCCCTGAGTGATACTGGACTGGGGAGATGGACCCTCGCCCCCAGGGAGAGCAAGAGTTGTGGGAAGAACAGGCTCCCTTCTAGTGTGCCCTGCATCCTGGCTACCTTTGGTGATGTAGAGGTAGAAGAAATCGCAGTAGAGGACTGTCTGGACCAGGCCTGCCACGATGGCGATGAGGTCAAAGAAGCCCTCAAAGTGGTAGCGCCAGATCCAATTGAAGAGATAGAGCGTTCGGTAGACGCCCAGCGCAAACAAGTAATGGCTGGTGATGGTCTCTGCCTCGCCGGTCTTGCTCACCATGAACAGCTGTGGCAAGATGGCCACTGACTCCAGGTAAATGGAGAAGGTCCAGAGGATCTGCAGACAGGGCAGGGGCAGAGGACAGGACAAGTTGGGAGGGGACGGGCGGAGAGAAGGCAGAAGACAGCATTTCAGTTACAGGCACAGTGAAGCCAGAGAGAGAAAGAACATAATCCAAGGCCGTCCGGGCATTTACCACATGCCAGACACCATTATGCCCTTGTTACTGGCACTTCTCATCTAATCCTCACAATGGCCTCATCAGGGAGATACAATTATTAGCATCCTCATTCTACAGGTGAGGAAACTGAGGCTCCGAGCAGGTAAGATACTTGCCCAAGACCATGTAGCTAGGAAGCAGTGAAGCCAGGATTCAAACCAAGGGTTCATAGGGCTCACCAGCACTTTGCAATTATGCCTCTCTAAAAGGCAGACCAGGTTGGAATCTTGGCTCCAAGATTTCTCTTCTATGAGAATTTCGGCAAGATAACCAGATTCTCCAAGACTCCACATCCTTATCTCTACAACAGGGATGATTTTCCCACTCTCACTGGGGCGTCATTCAAGGTGTATTCTTTAGAGACATAAATCAGATTATGTCGCTCCCTGGCTTAAAATCCTCCAGTGTCTTCTTCCTATTGCACACCCAAATAAAATCCAAACTCCTGACCCTGGCCTTCAAGGCTCTCCCTAACCCAACCTCATCTCCTACTCCCTCCCCTTGCTCTCTGGGCTGCAGTCATCCAGGCCTTCTATCTGGTCCTCCAACACACCATGCTTCTTCCTGCGTCAGGGCCTTTGCACTTGCTCTTCCTTCAGAAGGAAAAGCTCTTCTTCCAGATTGTCACACATCTGCCTCCTCCCAACTTCAGCTCATGTCACCTTCCCTGACCATTCTTCCCCCACGACTGTCTCATCACCCTGTCTTATCTCCTTCTTGGCCACTCTCACCAGAACATGAGCTCTGTGAGGCCTGAGATCCTACATCTTATTCACCCTGTGGCCCTAGCACCTAGCACAGTTCCTGAATGAATGAGTGAACAGATGCAAAATGTCTATAAAGGGCTCCCCATGTACTCGGCATGGGCCATCATTTAGGGAGGAGTGATCATTCATGAGCAGGACAGGGCATTATAGGAGGGGAAAGAAGAGAGCACAGACATCTGTCAGCCCGTTTACAGTCCCCAATTCCCTAAAAGTCTCACCTGGCATGATTTGTGATCTGCAAGACACACTGAAACCTCCCCTCACAGAACAAAGCCATGTGGCAGGTGTGGCTTCCCCTCAGTTGTTTTGATTTGTGGGAAGGAAGTGGGGAACATCAGGACATATTCATAACACTTCACACTTATATAGCATTTACTGCATCTAAGGCACTGCTCCCAGTCTCTGAAGACTTAACCCTATGAAGTTAGTCCTATTGTTATCCTAATTATACAGATAAGGAAACTGAGGCCAAAGGAATAAGTCCAAGATCATGCCAGCCTCCCACCCAGGCAACTGGACTCCAGGGCCTGCCCCCAAAATCGTCAAGAATCCTCCAACGAGGCTCTTAGCAAACCAGGTCAGTTAAGGTTCTCAAGAAATGTACCCATTAGGACCAGCCCGTGGCTCACTTGGGAGAGTGTGGTGCTGATAACACCAAGGCCATGGGTTCGGTTCCCTATATAGGGATGGCCGGTTAGCTCACTTGGGAGACCATGGTACTGACAACACCAAGTCAAGGGTTAAGATCCACTTGCTGGTCATCTTTTAAAAAAAAAGAAAGAAAAAGAAAAGAAATGTACCCACTAAATTGATGTATACCCAACCCTTACCCCTGGGGTTACCCTTGGGGAATAGCATCACAACATAGAAGGAGATGAAAGGTCTGTTGAGTTTTACTTTATTTTGTGATGTCTGAAATTTTTTTTTTTTTTTTTTTTTTTTAAAGATGACCGGTAAGGGGATCTTAACCCTTGATTGGTGTTGTCAGCACCATGGTCTCCCAAGTGAGCTAACCAGCCATCCCTATATAGGGATCCGAACCCATGGCCTTAGTGTTATTGGCACCACACTCTCCCAAGTGAGCCATGAGCTGGCCTCTTGTGATGTCTGAATTTTTAAAGAAGAATTTTTTCCTTCTATGATTGAAAAATTTTTTTTCGAGGGTTTGGATCCCTGTATTGGCCATCCACCAAAAAACAAAAAAAAACATACAAAGAATAAGAATAATAATTTTTTTTTAGCATGCACCAGTTAATAGCATGGGCTTTGGAAGGAGGCAGACTTAGGTTCAACCCTGTGAACTCTCCACTCTGAGCCTCACCTCAGTCCTCTGAGAAACAACGATGAGGATGCCTGCTTCCTACGGTGGCTGAGAGATCACACAGGATGATTATATGTTTAGAATGGCCCACTTGGGGATAGGCACACAGTTGGTGCTGATACTTTGCACAGGTGACCTCCCTCCTCTGAATGAGGGAAATACCAGAGTCAAGAGGCCTGGGTTTTGGTTCAGCCTCCTCCACCTTCAGCAAGCCCCACTGCCTCCCCCAGCCTGTCAGTCTCCCCATCTGCAAAATGGGTCCAGTAACCCCTACTTGGCAGGGCAGTTATGCGTAAGTCAAGGGCTTCGGTAAGTCTCCATGCAAGGTAGCAATGATTATATGTTTGCAAAGTCCAGGGCCTGAAGCCAAGCCCAGGTTTCCAATCACGGTATGATGCAGCCTCCCTCTGACATTTCTGGGGACCCATGGGCCAAAGTCATCCTCTGTCAGATTGGCCTGGCCTGCACAGTACTTTGAGAAATATATTTTGAATCTGTGGCCAAAATTTTAAAATGAAAACTGAATTATGGCTTCTGTTGAAAACATCAACACATATGGCCACCCAGGGCTAGCTTCGTATAAGGCAGGAGTAAGCCCACAGGAAGAAAGTTTGACCGAATTTATGATTCCTGCCAGGCCCCTGGAGGCATGAGATCGCAGACTTAACACTGGTCCTCTCAAAATTCCTCCCATGGGTTTGTACAGGTCCCACAAAAACGTTACAAAATAAAAATCATGACAGCTAACATTTAGAAGCAAAAGTATCGGGAATGGTACTCAACACTTCAGTCACTGAATAAACACTGAACTAGCACTTCCTACCTCATGCCAGACACTGTGCTTTACAAATATCAACCCCTTGTTAAAACTCTGTGAGGTACAGACTGATCATCCCCATTTTACAGACAAGGAAACTCATGCACAGAGAAGAGGTTTGCCCAAAGTCGTACAGCTGCTAAGTAGTAGAGGCAGACTTCGAATCCCTGTGCTCTGGTTCTAGAGTCTATGTGTGTTTAACCACTAAGTCATTCTGCAAAATCTCAGTAAATCCTCACAATGACCTGATTGCAACTTTACAAATGGGGAAACCAAGGAACAGAAAAGCCAAGTCACATGCCTAGAGTCATGCTAATAGAAACTAGCAGATCCGGGATTCAAATCCAAGCAGGCCAGTTCCAGAGGCCCTGTTCCCAATTTCTGAGCTATTCGGTCTGGTACTTACTAGGCTGGTGACCTTGGATGAGTCATTTAGACTTCCTAGGCCTCAGTTTCCTTATCTGTAAAATGGGTCTGTTGTGAAAAGCAATGAGTTAATGTACGTGAAATGCTTAGAGTAGTGTCTGGCATGTAGTGAGCGCTGCTGCTATTGAGCTAATACCATCTGACTCCAAAGCCTGTGTGCTCAACTTGTATGTCTGAGCAAACCCTGCAGAAGGAAGCTTTTGAGAGTTTCCTCTCAATAGCCTTTCTGCCACAACACATCCGACCACCTACTGGGTAGCTTACCTCTAGAGGGGTGAAGTCATGGTTGACAAGGAACGCCAGGATAGCCGTGGGAACAACGAGGAACTCCACCCGGAACGTGTCGTGGTTCCCATCATAAGTGGCTTTGAACTTGCTGTAAATCATCCAGACTGTGGTGAAGGAGCAGGCTATGTAGACCACCTAACAAGGGAGATGATGACAGAGCACCTCAGCTCACAGGGCAGGGCCTGTGCCCCCAATAGCCTCATACTCAGGCGTCGGGAAGCCCAGCCCCCTCCTCCCTCAGACCCAGGAATCTCTCCTCCCCTCGAGTCCAGACTCTAAGTCCCCTCCCTTAGACCCAGGAATCCAGGGCCCCAGCCCCTCTCCTCCCCCAAACCTGAGAATCTGGGACCCACACCTGGCTCCCCCACCTCAGGGGGCCCAGAGAGGTGGGGTGAAGGCTTTACCTTCATGCATGTGTTGTAGAGTGAGATGTAGTTGGTGAAGAGGTCCAGGTAGCGAGCGGTGAACACCACAGCAAACAGGACCTGGCTCTTCCCTGAAATCCCTGTGGTCCAGAGAGTGAGAGAGACAGAAAGGGGAGGAGGCTGGGGGCAGGTTGCATGGGCAATAAACTAAGGCACAGCGCCTGGCACTAGCCTGTAGGTGGCTGTGGAGCGCAGCTGTCCCCGGAGCCCTCCCCAGCCGCCCCGCCTGAGCAGGGCCCTTTCCCACGACCCACAGCCAGGGGGCAGCCGGGCCCCAAAGCTACTCCAGCCCGAGGCTCTGTCCCAGGCTAGGCCTCACGGCCACCATAGACTCCTCCGGGTCCTCCCACAGTCCGGACCCAAGGTGGGGCCTAGGGAGGACCCCTCCTGACCTGAGCCTCCCGGAACCAGTCACCTCCCTCCCACTCCCTTCCTGGCTGCCACAGTCCACGTCACCAACTCCCAGCCACCTCCCGGCCCGCCATGGCTCCCTGTTCTCAGGCCAGGAACCCGGGGGCTGCCCAGAGTGGGGATAGGGGAGGCTGAACTGGAGGTCTGGAGCCACCCCCACCAAATTGTATGCGCTCTCCAGTCTGGAGAAGGGAGCTCACCCCCTGGTGACCCCGACCTCACAGAAGGATCCCCCAGCAAGCAGTGGGGGGAGGGACATGTCCCCCTAGTGCCCCCAAACCCCTCCCAGGGTCTCGGGACGCCCTCGCAAACTCTCCCCTTCTCCTGCCCTGGTGGGCCTCTCACCGGCACACGAGCGGGACTTCCAGATTTTAAGCAGTAGCAAGATGATGGCTAGGAGGTGGGAGAGGTCTCCCAGGAATCGGAAGAGATTCATGGCTGGGGGGGCTCTGGCAGGGCTGAGCCGGAGGGAGGCAGGCTGGAAAGGTACTCCCCCCGGGGCTGTTGTTCTGGCTGTGCAGCTGGACTGGGGAGGCAGTAGAGGGGCCCTCGGGTGGCCTTCACTCTTGGGATGGGGGTTCTGGGAGGGGGAGGCGAGGCCGGACCTGGTGGCCGCGCTAGAGCCGGGAAGAGGGAGGAGGGCGGGGGGGAGGAGTCTGGGCTTGGAGGCTCCGCCCCCGAGGGCGGGGTCCTGGCTCTCTGGCGTCCTCTACCGCCACCTTCTGCCTTGCACAGTTTGCGTTGAATGCACCTTAAAGGCAGCCTCTAAGGAACTTGCGGGGTCGCTGGGATCTGAAACTCCAAATCAGTTACCTACTCCCCCAGGCAGCCTGCGTCTCTGTAAGGGACGCAGTACAGCAGCCCAGACCCTGCCCTTGGCAAGGATTCGGGAGGCTGGCCTCTGAGCTTTGAAAATCCTGGGCAAAGAGACCCAGAGTCTCAGCTACCGGCTTTTGCCTCTCTCAGTGGCTTCCAGCTCCAATCCACCTAAAAGACAAGAAAGCAGCCCCCAGCCCCTTCCTCCCTCAGACCCAGGATTCCCGGCCCCCAGCCCCTCCCTTGGACCCAGGAGTCTAGACCCCCCCCCCATCCCCTTCCTCCCTCAGACCCAGGAGCCAGGGCCCCCAGCTCCTTCCTCCCTCCAGCTCAGGAGTTTGGGCTCCTAGCCCTCTCCTCTCCCAGGACCCTCGTCCTTGGAACTTAGGGTTCCACGACAACCATCTTATGGCTCAAGCATCCTAACCTCGGGAATCTAGATCCATAATCCCTTCCTCCCTCTAAGTCCCACAAACTCAGGTCCCAACGATTTTCTTTTTCAGGAACGTGCACCTTCATCCTTGTCCTCTCAGACCTTGAGGATGAAGGAGTCCCACCTAGTAGGATCAGGGGCAAAACATGGACACAAACTACCTCAGAATTCCAGGGCCCCAGCTCCAGCTCCTGTTCCAGAATCCTTCCCTCCCCCTCCCTATGCCCCCCCAACACACGCCCAGCCTCCGCCTTCAAGGGCCCAAGTGTCCTGTACCACACTCCACCTCAGAGCTGCATGGGTGACTTTATAGAAGTTCTGGCCTGACCTCTCTAGCAAAACTGAAAGGATGGGCAGCTGGCCTTTTGGGACCCTCGAGGGGCGAGGCCATATTCTGGACTACTGTACACCTATGAGCCGGCAGATGCTGCTTTCCTTCTGGATATTTGAGCATCCATGGGTGATGGGGGCAAGAGTCTCTCAATTAAAAAGGGTTACAGAGGTACTGGCTTCCTCAGAAGGATGGATCAACGGGATGCCTGAGGGTACCGTCTATGAATCCTTGGTCCCCAAGAGTGATTTGTGCTGGGAGAGAGAGTCCCTAAAAGGGACTCAGGCTTGGAGGAAGGGTTCCAGATTCCTGGGTCCTACTGGAGGAGGGATTCTTGGACTCCTGGGTCTGAGAGAGGAGGATCTGAGGTCTGGACTCCTGAGTCTGAGGGAGGAGGGGCTGGAGGCCTGGACCCCTGGTTCTGAGGGAAGAAGGGATGAGGATCTGGACTTCTGAGTTTGAGGGGGGAGGGGCTGAAGACCTGGACTCCTGGGTCTGAGGGAGGAGGAGCTGGGGGCCTGGACTCCTGACTCCATGATGGGGACCTAATTTGCAGGCCTGGCCTTCTGGGGCAATAGAAGCCAAATGATGGGTCTTAGCATGGAGGACACTGAAGACAGGAAAAACTCTCCTGCTTCCCAAGCCTCAAAGTGGGGAGGGGGCAGAGGGCAGTAACCTTGGTCCTAGAGTCTAGGTCCAAAGCTGGTGTCTCCATACCAAGTTCTTAGTCCCTGACCGTCCCCCTGTTCTTCCTCCCTTTTTATTTGCAGCCCCCCACTCTCTTGTCCCAGGAGGAAGGCAGAGGCTGGGAGCTGGGGATGGGAGTCGGCCCCCTCCCCCAGCACTGACAAGAGGAGGGGTCTCCAGAGAGGCCAGGAGGGGGGGCTATGGGTCTTCCGGCAAGGGCGGACGGGGACTGAATGTTAATCGCATCCCGAGTGTGTGTGTTAGAACAGAGCGAGTGTGCCAGTCCCTCCCGCTCCAGCTTCTCCAAGCCGCGGCTGCCGCCTCCACCCTCCACTGGCAGCCTTCCTCGGCCACCGGTGCCCAGCTGGGGGGGACGAGGGGCAGTGGGGGGGAGTACTGGCCTGGGTGGGTCCGCCCAGCCCCCAGGGTCTCTGGTGCGTCTGCCATCTGCCCGGTGAGAATGTGTGTGTCCGGGTGTCTGGGGCTGGCTGGTGGAGAGGGGGGGTGTGTCTGTGTAAGGGCTGCAGCGGCCGAGGGAAGGAGGGGTCTGTCTGTCTGTACCGACCCTGAGCCGCCTGCCTGGGTGTCGTGGGCCGCCAGTCCTTCCCCCAGAACCCCCCAAATCCGGATGGATGGTGTGTACCTGGGTTCTGTGCCTCCTGCCTGCGTCCGGCCGGGCTTCTGGGCGTCCCCAGCTGCCTATGTCCTCCTGTCTGTCCGAACAGCCCCGGACGGCAGTGGCAGCCCAGCCCCCATTGGACCCCCCCCGTGTGTGTGTGTGTGTGTGTGTGTGTGTGTGTGTGTGTCTCCCTCCTCAAGCTCCGGGGGTGTGGAGGGGGAATCCCAGGGAAGTGAGGTTGTGCGTGTGTGCGTGTGTGTGTGTGTGTGTGTGTGTGTGTGCGCGCGCGTGCTGCTGCCTGAGAGTGGGGGCGCCGAGGGGGGTCTGGAGGTGGCCAAGCGAGGAAGGGGCAAGCAGTTTCCCAGACAGACAATCTCCCGCTCCTCACACAAACACGCATCACCCACCGGCTTCAGAGGTGACCCAGACAGACAGACAGACACAGATGCTGGGGGTGTGGGGTGGGGGGGAGGCTAAGGGCACAAAAGGAGGGGGGTGAGAACGACCGAGGGAGAGGCGGGACCGGACACATGGAAGGGAAGGAGGAGCTGGGGCTGAAATAGCAGAAGGGGGCACCCTGGGTGGGCGGAGGGGGGATCCCCACGGGGTCGGGGCGGCAAGAGGACACCCTGACAGCCTCCGCAATGTCCGGGGCCCAACTTCCAGCGCAACATGTGTAGCCGCGTCCTCGCCTAGTCCGGGTGGCTGCAACCTTGGGGGACAGACAGGGCAGGACAGGACCAAGGAAGAGGAGGGAGAGACGGAGCCAGGGACAGGCAGGAGGTCCCTACCACCACCGCCACTGCTGCCACCGCCGCTGCCGCCGCCCCAGGGCCTGGCCCCCCCATTGGCTTCCTAAGCCCTCCGCAGAATCTTCGGGTCGCTGGACGCTGGGTTCCGGTCCTGGCCCCCCTACAATCTCCCCCACAGAACAGGGTCATGAAAAGGTAAGGCCGGCACAGGGGATGAAGGGGTGGGAGTGGGAATGTGGACCCCCAAATCTAGGACAGCGAAAGTTGGCCACGGGCCTGTGGAGGAAGGGGGGTTGAATGGTGGGCAAGAGTCTTAACCCCCACAGCTCCCTTGTCCCTCGGGGATTCTCCTTCACCCCCTCTTTTTCTCCCTCTCTGAGACCCTTTTCCTGGGTCTCTACACCTCAGACTTCCTAAGCCCCGCATTTCTCTGACACTTTGCTTGCTCTCCCCAGCCCCACATACCTGACACCCCATATCTCTCTGTCCCTCCATCTCTCCATCTCATCTTCTCTCTGCACCCCCATCCCCCCGCATCAGTCTCCCATCACTGGCCGTCCCTCTCCCTCTCTCCTCTCAATTACCCCTCCCATCTCAGAGCTATGAGTCTGCTATTAATACCTCTGCCAAGGACCTTGAGGGCATCCAAGCCCCCAGCACCCTTTGCCCCAAGCTACCACCCCTTCCTCAAGGTTCTGGAATACCCTTCCAGCCTCTTCCAAGCACTAAGATTAGGGTGGGGAGAGACGGGTGTTGTGTGTGTGTTGGTAGGGGGAAATGGGATGCCTTTGCAGCAGGACGGGGGGGGGGGGGAGTTGTTGATCAAAGTGGACTCTCCTCTCTTCTGTGATGGATGTGGGGGGGGAGCAACAGAGACAGGGACACCCCAGGAAATCTCTGGCACCCTCCTCCTCCTCAATTCGGGGACAGACTGTGCTGTGTACAGGATTTGAGTGGGGTGACTGGGGAGGCTGGAGCTGGGGGAGCACCCAGGTTGTTGGGATTGATGGGATTTGAGACAAAAAGGGTCTCCTTAAAGGAAGAAAGGGCTGGGAACTCAGGCTCCTGGGTCTTGAGGGAAGAGGGGAGCTGGGGACCTGGACTCTTGGTTCCTGCAGGCAGAGGAGGCTGGGCACCCAGATTTCTGAGTCTTGGGACAGGAGGGGAATGGGACCCCTAGTTCCTCAAAGAGAGCAAAGCTGAACACTCGGGGGTGGGGGGGCTGATAGCCAGAACTCATGAGTCTTTATGGGAGAAGCTATGTCTGAGGGAGGAGGGGGCCAGGGGCTCAGTCTCCTGAGTCCCTGACAGGGCAGAGGATGGGGATCTGGACTCTTTAGCCCCTGTGTGGATAGAAGTGGGAAGTGAGACTCATGAGGAGGCAGAAATTGGGGACCTGGACTCTGTGATCCCTGAGGGTGTGGGTTCTGGGGATTGGAGGACTGGGGATGCCACTTCTCAGTCCCTGGAGGAGTGGGAGACTGCCCTCCTGAATCCCTTATGGGAAAGGACTGGGCATCTAGCATCCCGAGGTGGGTGGGTCTGGCAGCTGCCCTCCTGGGCCTGGGCAGGGAGCAGAACCCTGGGGTTCCCAAGGGCAGAGGCGGAGGTGGGGTTGAGGGGTGAGCATCCACCAGGAAGGGAGGGAAGAGTGAGCGTTAACCCCGCGGGGGCCAGGCCACAGCTGTGGGTTATTTTGGGGTGGAGGGGGTCTATTCTGAGTGCTGATTGAGCCAGCTGCTTGGGGAAGGGCAATGGAGAGGAGGGGCGAGGAGGAGCCAGAATTTAGGAGGGACTGGCATGCTAGGAGCTCCCACCCCTTCCCTGGGGAGACAGTGGCCCAGGATCCCTGAGAAGTTGGGGTGGTGAAGAAATGGGAGGGGCCGAGGCCTCTAGGCAGAGGAGGGGATATGGGCCTTTCTCCCACCCTGGCTGTCTGTGAGGTGGAAGAAGCCTGCGCTACCATGGCAACTGGACAAGAGACTGGTTGACAGCCAAGAGAGAACCCTTCTCTGTCTGGACCCTCACCCCTTCAGGAAGCCCCTGATGCAGGCTCCAGTCTCTCTCTTGGAGCCAGGAATCCGAGCCCCCAGTGCCCTCCTCCCTCAGACCCAGGACCCCGGAGTGTGGGATCCCAGCCCAACCACCCTAAGCAGCCAGTATTCAGCAGGGGGCATAGGAAGAGACGCTGTATTTCCTCTAATTTATTAAATTGCTCTGGGCTGGGAGCGAGGACCCCCCACACACACACACCAGCTATCCACAGCTGTGCCTGTCAATCTCACATTCCAGCCTGGGCCATGACTCTCTCGCTTTCATTGAGAATGGGGGGACAGGAGTAAGGGGACAAAAATGGGTTGGGGTTGGGGTTGGGGTGAGGCATAAGGTTGTGGGGGCATTTTTGCTCCTTGGGATGCCCACTAATTTCTCCTTGTCTCTCTTTCCCTCCCCCCACACACCTGACCCCTTTTCCCGCTCTCATTTTTTTTCCCCCTCACTTTTTCTTCCTTTTATTTTGCTCCCTCCTGCCACTCTCCTCCCTGGCCTTCCTTTCATGTCTGTGCTGGGCACCTCCCTGGTGGGGGTCTCGGTCTTTGCCTTGCCTCGCTATTTCTGTCCGCCTGTGTTTCTCTGTTCTAACTGCCTCCCTCAATCTCAATTCTGTTTCCCCATCTCTCATGTGTGCTTGTCTCTTGGTGGCTGCGGGGTCTGTCTCTGTCTTCTTCACTTTCTTTCCATCTTCTTCTCTGTCCAACTTTCTTGTCTCTCTTATCTCTCCTGCCTTCCTGTGTCTATCTCTGCATCTCTCCCTATCTCTCTATCATTCTCTCCCTGGATCTCTCTCACTTCTTATTTCTGTCACTTCATGTTCTCTTCTCCCTGTCTCTGTCACTCCGAGCCTTTCCATCCCTGTCTGTTTTCTCCCTCCATCTCTCTCATTCCTGCCTCTCTCTCCCTGACCATCTCTCTGCTGCTGTTTTTATCTCCCTTCCTATCTCCCTGGGTCTCTCTCTGCTCCTATTTGGATCCCATCTCTGTGGATCTCTTTTTCTCATCTGCCTTATCATCATCCCCACCCCTAACTTGTCTTTTTTCCTCTTTTTCTCTCCCTTCCTCTGTATCTTCCCCTGACCCCATTACCTACCCCCCTCTTGTGTTTATGTCTCCCCCACTCCATACTCCACTTCTCCCTGTCCCTGTGTCTCCTTATCTCTGTGTCTCCCTCCCTATTTCGCTCCCCACACCTCTCCCTCTGTATTTGGTGTCTCTTTGCCATCTCCACTTTCTACCTCCCTCCACTGTGTCTCTCCCTCCGTCTCCATCACCTCAATCTTCCCCTCTCCATCTTGTCTCTCCGTCTCTATCTCCCTGTATCTCCCCTTCTGTGTATCTCTCTACATCCTGTCTCCCTGTCTCTGCGTCTTCCCGTCTGTGTCAATCTGTGCTGTCTGTGCCTCCCCCTGTCCTCTCCTGTCTCTCCCTGGCCCGGGCGCTCAGAGGCCGCCCGGCGGGGCCTGCAGGCGATGCGCGGCGCCAGTGGCCCTCGCGGCCCTCGGGGCCCCGCTAAGATGCTGTTGCTGCTGGCGCTGGCCTGCGCCAGCCCGTTCCCGGAGGAGGCGCCGGGACCGGGTGGGGCCGGAGGGCCCGG